AAGCACTACTTGGACCCTTAGGGTAACCAACTATCCTAAAAATATATATATATATATAGAGATAGATAATTAGGATCGTGCAAGGTAATCCGAAAAAGGAGCTGCGATGGAGACTATAGGCAAAATCCGCAAGGCCCAGCTCTTCATTGAGGATATGGAGACTATGGACAGCAGCAAAGAGGAGGCCCCAGAACTCTTTTTTTTAGGTTTAGGGTTTAGGGTTTAGGGTTTAGGGTTTAGGGTCCGGGTTTGTTGGTTTTTGAGGAAGGGGGAGCTTCGGGATTCAAGTTTCGGTTGATGTGTTTTGTATGTCAGTTGGGGTCATGTCAAGGTTCCATTTAAGGATGCTATAAGGTTCCGCAAGGATGTAGAAGAGTTCAGCAGGGGCGTAAACCCTAAACCCTAAACCCTAAACCCTAAACCCTAGAGCTTTAGGGTTTTGGGGTCTCGATTTTGGAACTCGGGGTTTCTGGAATCTCCAGCTATGGAAGTAATCTGGTTTAGGGGCCTAAAAAACTACCAATACTAGTTTGGGGTTCCTTACTATAAGTATAGTATTTTGGATCCCAGAACCTAGTATTTTTGGGTCCCAAAACCCTAATCTAATTATTAAGGCGCCGATATTAATTAGCTTCAGTGCCCGTTACTCCTAGCATTCTTGCAGCCTGTCTGATAAGTAAGCAGTCAGCCAATCCCTTCATAGTCCCTGTCTACAATATTGCAAACTACCTCAAGTCGAAACCCTCCCAGTTATCCAGGCCCTTTCCCCCTAAACTTTGGCCCTAAACTCCTGTAGAAGCCCTTAAAGAACCTTAAACCCTAAACCGTGAACCCCTATAGAACCCTTACAGGACCCTCAAAGGAACCCCTTTCTTCGCAGAAACGTTTCTAGCAAAATTTGAACGGAACCCGAAGTCTTCAGGCACCCCACAGTAACCCTAAACCCCTGAACCACCTAAATCCTAAACCCCTAAACCCTAAACCCCTAAACCCTAAACCCCCAAAGCCCTAAACCCTAAGCCCTAAACCCCTAAACCCCTAAACTCCTAAACCCTAAAACCCCAAAGAGCTACTGTAGGCCTAAGGCCGAGGCATCCCTGCGTCCTATAATCAAGGCCCGAAGCCCCAAAACTTCGACTTGTGTTTAGTGGTTTAGGGCTTGGGGTTTAGGGTTTGGTGGTTCAGGGCTTTGGGTTTAGGGTTTAGGGCTTTGGGTTTAGGGTTTTGGGTTTTAGGGTTTTGGGTTTTAGGGTTAAGGCCTCTGGGTTTNNGGTTTTGGGTTTTTGGGTTTAGGGCCAGGCGTTAGAATGTTAGGGTTTAGGGAAGTTTGGGGGTAGACGGTCTTTGGCATTTGGCTGACTTGGCAAAGCCCAAACGATTCTACATTGATACCCCTGCATCCTGCTTTCTGAGAAATCACCCTAAGGGTCCATGTATCAGGATAGTGTAAATGTTGGCCCCACATTACCTATACAGAGATTACTTGAACGCCAAAGTATATGATTACAGTTGGGTACAAGGACCTCACATGGCTTCTGAACACTGGCGCCTATCAGTTTTATCCAACTCCCCAGTCGCAGGTGCCAAAACGCCTGCAGCGACGCAAGAGCTCCATGCTGAACAACAGTGCTTGGGCATGAACAACTAGGGATTGAACCTCAACGCCCTGAGCCGGAAGGTTGGAGTAAACTGACAGCTGTGGAACCGAAACCTCAAACCCTAAACCCT